CGACCTCGCCAAAGGCACTAGCAATTGCGCCGAGATTCTCGAAGCCATGATGATAGCAAAAAGCGAAGTATAGATATAAATCGAAGCAGAATTCGTCTTCGAAAAAGAAGTAGGAAGATCGACAACACTAGTCGCCCCTGAAGAGGCAAATCTAGGTAAAGCTGGAGGCAAACCGCAAGAAGCCGAAAGCAGCAAACACGCAGGTACGCACAAGCACCGATGGGCGTGGAAAGACCGAGTCGGAAAACGGAGCGACGGGCCAAAGAAAAAAAGGGCTAATGTCGTCACTACCCGTGGGCAGCAAACTAAAAAAAAAAAAATAAAAGAGAAGGGGAAAAGAAGTTCCTTCAGGTTCTGGATCGTTATCAAAAAAGAAACTTATTCAATACCCCACATAAACCCTGGCACAGGCACAATGGTTGACACCAAAAGATTGAACACGAGGATTCACAAGAAGGATTCAGTACAATAACATCACAATAAAAGTTTCCTTCCTACCTACCCGCCAACCCCACGACCCGTCTTCCTTATATAACCCATGCTGGTATAGATGATGCCGCGTAGTCCGGATCATCCACCCAGAGTGAACATCAAAGTTCCAAAAAACCTTAGCTTAGTTAATAATTTAGTGCCAATCCCCCAACATTTCGTCGGCATTATTTCACGCTTTACCCGATACGGATGGATTATGCCCGTCTTAGGGCGGATACTTACATGCAGGTGATTCCACTGCTTTCTTCCTTTTCCTTTCTGTTTTCCCGGACCGAGGACTTGGGGAGTGGGCCGAGGTTGGTGCGAGTCGGTGATACAAGTTACTGTGTAGATTCAAGAACTGGAGATTTAATGTGGTTTTATTTTTCTTGCTGTAAAAGTAAAATTAAATGGGATGATGTGTGGGTGTGTGTAGTAGTAGTAGTAGGAGGTTCCATTTCTATGCCTACAGCCTGTGTTGTAGCTACCACTGTAGCTATAGCTAAAGGCTAGTAGTAGTATAGTGACACACGATGTCCAGCCAACAAACTGAACTCATAGTGAGACACGACATCAGAAAGAAACAAAAAGGTGAAAGAAGAAAAGAAAATAATTACCAAGCTCGTAAGCAGCCAGCAAACCAAAAAAAAATCTCAGCATCAACACCAATCCAGACATGTACCGCCATGTCTTTTGTATGCAACCAACCACCCCTCGGTTTATTCGAGTACATCCATTCATCCATCCGTCTGCCCATGAAGGTATGGTAGGAACAAGAAGCAAAATGCAAAAAAGAAATACTATATAGGAAAAAGGAGAGAAAAGAAAGTAAGGGAGAGAAGAAAAATGTATGCAATCCTCGACACCATTGAAGTATAAGCTTGTCTCCCCAATGCGCGCGGTGTGTGTGCATGGATGCATGCATGAATGTATGTATGTATGTCCTGGTTGTTGATGAGTCCCATGTGTCACCTGCCTTCGTTCATTGGTTCATTTTGTTTTTCGTTTTTGTTTTTTCCTTCTGGTTCCTCATTTCCCTTCTGATTCTGTTTTTTTCTTTTTTTCTGTACTGATGTTGGGTTTCCAAAATCTTCTCAAAATTCGTCGCTGGCGAGGCCGTTAGATGCTTTTCATTCATCAGTCAACAGTATGCAGGGATATGGCATGCAGAATCCAAGGACGCCGGTTGTGCACCAATTACAGGGGGGACCGAATTGTAAATGGAAGTGGTGATAGCAAATAAGGAAAGGGGAGGATGAAGCAATAGAAATGCAGTATTAATCGCATCGTCTGTCGATAGTTGTACGTAGGCTTGGACAATAATTGGATGACGGGTGTATATGCCAGTGTTATGAAAAGACGAGCTGAATATCTTCACATATTAACACGGCTGAGCGGCTAGCAGATCATCTCCGCGGGCAACGCTGCAGCCAGTTCAGTCCAGGGAAATAGACAAGCCGCAACGAATTTCATATCCTTTCCTTTCATTCTCGAACGCACGGCCTGCTTATAACCCTGGGACTCCTTCCGCACCAGATTTCACAGGCCTCTCCAGCTGATAAAGTAAGGCGTCAAGCTCGGCCCAGTTCGCTCGGTTGGTCGCAAAGCGGCGGTGTTTTCGGGTCACAATGTGCTGCCAAGGGTTAGCATTGTCGTTTCTGAATATAGAGCTTCCAGACTAACCTCTTCAAAGTCGTCGAACTTGTCCCTGCAGTTCTCACAGTAGCCTGGCTTAGGGTCTCTCCGTCTCTCCTTCTTTTTCGGTATTATTATGGTTTTACGATCACCGATCCGCCGCTTAGGAGCGCCACTGTTCTCCAATTGCGTTGATTCCTCTTCCGGGACGTTTACAAGCTTTTTAGGCGGTTGCATATTGCCGAGGCTGTTCTCCAATGGTTTCGTCTTCAGCGGTGCGGATCCATCTACGGCGTGGTGTGATGGAGGCATAGTGCCCGTTGCAAGCCCCCCGTTTCCTTTTTCGAGCACCTTTCTCTTGAGTTCATGAACTTCCTTGCTCAGGCCAGCCTTGGCACCGGGTGCCGCAGCAGTCGATGAAACCATTTGCGAACGAATGGCGGACGTAATATTCGAGGGTTGTACACCTGATGCGGCAGGTTCACGGCCATGGAAAAATGGCCCCTTCCGTTGCGGAGGCGGAGGCACGAAGCTCTCAGAGCTTTTCCTGGGCGATAGTTGCTTCGTGGACTGAGTATCCTGGAGTTCAAGCTGGGGCTCAAGGGGCGCCTCTTCTGTTTGGCCCAATTCGGGAGTCTTATCCTCGGGCTTTGTACCCTTCCTATGAGTTTCTGGTGCATTTAGTTTCGCGTCTGGAATGTCTTGTACAGGGGCAGCATTAGCAACAGCTCTTTCGTCCCTTTCCTGTCTCTCCGTCCTCTCTTTTATACGGGCGCGTTGGCGGTCGATGTCTTTCTGTGTAGGGGGATCCTCAATGAACGGGCACTTTCCTAGGCGTGCACTTCGGAATTGCGGCCATATACCATCCTGCCGCCTTGCAACTTTCGGGTATTCTCGCACCATCACAGGGCGCGTCTTTTCGTCCATGTCATGGACATATATGAAAGGACCCTTGAACATAACCAGCTCCTTCAGGACCGAGAGGGGATTGCGATCCGACGGGCCATTCAGCTCATTCTGAAGCACTTGCGAAAGATCGTGTTCACCCCGAGCCCTAGCATGACCACCAGCAACATTGCTGTTTCGCGTCGCGTGGCCATCATGTCCTCCGACATCGCCATCATTGATCGCCGTGATCATGCGCTGCAGTTTCTCAATCGCCCAGATCTTCATTCCCATTTGGCGGGCTCTGTGTAAAACGTCCATGCCCTTCTGCTCCCGCCGTGCGTCGTTTTTCAAGGTCATATGAAAGTGTGTATCGGCGCACTTCTCGAGCAGGGATGGGTTTACTGTCTGCAGCGAACCGTCCGCCGCCGCTTGCTCCGCCGACTCCGCATTGTATTCAGGTGCATTCGTAGGACCGTTCTCTGGAGGGATAGGACGAGACGTGACGACGTGGGTCACTAGACGCGAGAAGAATTTTTCTTCACGCTGTGAGGGATGAAGTCAGTAACGTCACGCAGTCGTATAGGAACTGCCGCCACCATGGACCGGTGGGGCACCGTTGACCCTCCGCACGCAGCTCCTTTAGGGGATCATGAAGCGCTGGAGATGTCAGCCAGACGCAAACTTACCGCTCCCAATGCAAGCACCTGTCTAGAGCTCTTGCTGCGAACATCTTCCGGGATGCTATCAAAGTAGAAAACAAATTGAGGAAACGCCTTGCGGTAATGCCTCTGCCACTGCCGGATGGAATCGAGAGTCTCCGCGGACGGCCTCTCGTGCCTCGTGCCTTTCATTTGTGCCTGTCGTTCTTTATCTCTCACAGCGACCAGTTTCCTTTCGAATGCACTCGGCTGAGCATTATTCGTGCGCCGCAAGAATAATTTGGAGTCGGTATTTTGGTATGCGGACGCCCTGGACCGGGATGGGGAACGAGCGTCCGCCTCCTGACCGTCCACTACCTGCTTCTTCGGGGGAGGCTGGCCGTAAGGGATGTCGATCTGGTTACTCGTTGGACGTAGACGTTTGGCAGGCACGAGGCCTGACCTGTGAGGGGAATTGGTAGCATTCGGCACGTTGGCAAGTGGTCGGCGAGTCGACATATTAAGCGAAGACCGAGGCGAAGGTGGTACGAATACAGCTGCCATGTGGTAACAGAATCCAAGGCACTATATGAGCGTGAGTTGCTGTGAGTTGGACACCAGCAAGAGAAAAAAGGAGGGGCAGTTGGAGGCGAGCACGCGATGCGTTACACGTCTCGACGGGGGGGGTGATTACTCGGTTAGAAAAAGGCCATTGTCGACGCGATAGATGAGCAAATAAAGAGCGGCAGTGGGAGTTAGTGAGAGAAGCAGAAAGCCATGCCCTAGGAGAAGGGGAAGCAATGCAGCAAAAAACCCGCGAGAGTGTGTGGGGGAAGGAAGACAACAGAGAAGGGTCTAAGGGAGACACAGATTGAATGGGTGGTGGTGGTGATGATGGAAAGAGAAGAGAGACCAAGCCCGACTAGACTAGTAGAGAAACGACTAAGCGTGTCAGGGAAGGTCGGTGGAGCCCCGGCGGGTTTGTTTTGGCTCCGGGATGTGCGCCGGACAACCACCGCCCGGCGCGCAGCATGAACCATTCTTTCTTTTCCTTTCATTCATTCCTCTCTGGGGCTTGCTGGGGTTACCCTTTAGAAACAATCTGCACAGATATCCCTTTTCTTAAGTGAGGGAGTCTCTACGTGATTGAGTTTGCTGATTGTGCCTTTTGTGTAATAATTGGCACGTCTATTCCAACCTCCTCTGCTTCGTCTATACTACGTAGTAGTTACCTCTATCCACGCCCCACGCGTCCACGCTTAAGTGCTGACTGCTGACTGGTGACGTCTACACGAGCCACACGAACCACCAAAACCGGCTTGTCTCTTGTTTACTTCTTGCTCAACTCGGCCAGATTGTTTGCTATACCTCCAATTTTCGGTTCACTATGTTATATATGTTACAATCTTATGCAAGGGTATCTAGCTTTACACAATTTCGGCCCTCGTCCATCTTAATCACGAAGGGCCTCGATATCATCGACCTAGATAGCAGATTCGTCAGTCAGCCCAATATTCGTCACCAAAACCACGGTAACACGTCTTTTCTCTACCGGAAATTATCGCTTACCTCTTTAACTGCCTCCGTGGTCAATACAATGGGACTGTCATCTCCAACACAAACACTGTCTTCAATCCGGATGCCAATGCCCCGGAACCGTGCCGGCCACCGCTCATCATCTGGAACGTAGATGCCACTGCGCTGATTGTTAGCATGCTCAATCTCACAGAAGGGCGTCGATACATACGGCTCCACAGTGATACATTGGCCTGCCTTGAGATTATATCCCCGGGAATACCCGGAGCAGTCGTGCACGTCCAGACCAATATAATGGCCCAGGTGGTGAGGGAAGAGAATACCCATGGCCTATTTCTGGTTAGTATTGAAAAGACCTTGTGAGAAACTGGAAAACCTACGCCTCCGGAAACATCGAATCCAAGTTGTATCAGCTGGTCTCGCAGGCCGGTCTCCGCAACGCTATGCAGCCGGTCCAGGCTGAGTCCAGCATCTTCGCGACACAGTGAGACACAGCTGCGATGCACATTCAGCACGGCATTGTACAAGTCGCGCTGAGGGTCAGAGAATTTGCCGTTCACTGGCCAGGTTCTCGTGATGTCGGAGATGTAAGTGCCTGCCTCCTGTGCTTCAGTTAGTCTCGGTAATTGGTGGACGAATAGGATACACGTACACCACCTCCGTCAACTAGAACCATATCCCCGTCCCTGTAATGTGTGAGTACTGCAATGACAATGGCTCTTGTGGCGCATACCTCAAAACGTCATCGTTTCTCGTGTAGTGGATGCTCAGGGCGTTCTACACACGTCAGTCACGGGCATTCAATACCTTCCGAATAATTACTTACGGAACCACCTGCGACGACTGGAACGAAAGCACTATTATCGCAACCATTGCGCTTGAAGTTGTACTCCAAGAAAGCAGTCAGGTCCTTTTCCATGGAGAACGTCTGCCTCATAGACTCTGTGAACGCTCTTCCAGATGCCTGTCCAACACGACGCAATTGAACGACCTCATCCTCACTTTTGAAGACTCTCATTTCATTGAGGATGGAGCGCAAAGGCTTAACCTTGCGGTGGTCGACTATTTTCTTGAGCTTTTCGGAAGCTCCCGTAGGACCGTAGAGGTACCGATGCAGAGATGACCTTCCGGGGTTGAAAGCGGGAATGTCGGTGTAGATTTCAGTCGCATCCGCAAGGATTTTGGGAAGAAGGTCCCCAATGCGTTCGATATCACCGGACTACCAGCGCAGTGTTAGTGACGGCCAAGGAAGATTAGCAAAGTAAACTCTTACTTCATCCGCATTGAAGACATCAATCGCCGCGCGGGTACCCGAACGAGCACCGTCCCAAAGTTCCGCCTTCGCATCCTTCTCCCTGCAATAAAGGTGGAAGAGATGGTTGTTCCCGGATCCATCGTTTGCTGCTTATAATGAGCGCCAATTCCCAAACCGAATCTCGTAGTTAGAGCTCACCGATGACAGCCAGCGCATTAGGTTCGTTAAACCCTATCCATACAAAGAACTATGTCAGCGACGTCTGTTGCCTGTAAACAAGGACACCATGTACCACCCACCGGTCAAGTAAAAGAAATTCGAGTCCTGTCGGTATTCATTGAAGATGCCCGAAGCCCGGTAGGTAACCTCAGCAGCAGCCAGCACAGCGACGGCATACTTGGGAAGTTTGTTCGCGAGACGAGATCGGCGCTGGGCATACTCGAGAGCCGTTATTCCGGGTGTCACTTTAAGATGCGTTAATACCGTAGACAATATTTCGTCATTGTAATCCGCGGGAATTAAAGTGATGTTACGCACGCTCTCCCGGCTCCAGTATATGGGGGTGTGTCTCGTGTAGCGGCTGGCCGAATTTGAGCTCCGCGGCGGAGATCGAAGCGTAAGTACGGCGAAGAGCAGGCTGTTGGAGCACCGGCCGGCTAAGATGCGAAAGGGAGATTCGAGGTGCCTGGCGGCGAAGGCAACGAGGCCATTGGCGAATGGCTGCTTTGCATGTCGACATCGTTATAGCAGCACCATTGAAGGTGTTGGCAAGCTTTGTCGAAATAAAGACTGGCTATCTGGCCCGCGTTTGGTTCGGAAGGTCGGCGGTGATTGCGAGACCTCCGAGCGTCCCTTGGTTTAGCCCGTTCGCTGAATGCCTCAGGCTGGCAGCCCCGGTCGGCGGCAGTGACCAATCAACGCTGAGGGGTTTGCGATAGACTCGCATACTCCGCTTGTCTGGATAGGCTGGAATCTGCGATTCCTTCCCACCTTCTTTCTTATCTCGGTCTTGTACAGCGTACCACAACCACGAGATGTCGGAGGAGTTTGGGCCAGTCCAGTACGATCCCAAGGGTTGGGTTGTTTTTCGATGGGATTACTCGATGACTCAAGTTGGCCTTTGAGTCACGTCAATGAGATGCCAAGGTGGAGTACAAAATATATATAGTAGAAGCAAACTCCATTGAAGATCTAAGCACAATTCGTTGCTCACTCGAGTGCTCCATTACTTTAATGCTAGACGGAATTTAGTAGTCAGTTAATCATTGTATATATTGTTCGATTCGTCAAATTCAAAAATGGGAAGAACCTTAACATACCCCAAGCGGCCCTCGAACACGGTCAACCGCTACAAACATCGAGGTATACTTCACTCCAATCCCCTACTTTGCGTCCAAGGACTTCACTAAGAGTACCACAGCAACTTATGACCTGGGCGCCATTCATGAAATCATCAACTCCACCCAAGTTCTTCATGTATCCTTCAGCCCCGGACCGTCGGAGCCCTTCCCTGCAATCCTGCCTATGATCGGACAAATGGGATCATTTGACTACCCTTCAGCCAGCATCGACGAGCCCCTTGACTGTTATCTTCATGGCTATGTCAGCTCCCGCATCATGAACCTGGCTCGAGATGCCGAAGGAGAAGGACTACCTATCTGCGTGGCTGCTAGCAAGGTCGACGGGTTGATCTTGTCTCTGACACCGAACTCCCATAGCTACAACTATCGATCTGCGATCCTCCAGGGCTATGCTAAGTTAGTCACTGACGAAGCCGAGAAACTCTACGCCATGGAGCTGATCACCAACTCGGTACTCTCAGATCGTTGGGCGCATACGCGTGTTCCACCAGACCGTGCTGAGATGTCCTCGACCGTTATCCTTAGAGTCAAAATCATGAGCGGAAGTGGTAAGATTCGAGATGGCAGCGTCTCGGATGAGAAGAAAGATACAGGCAGTGAAGAGATCACGAATCGAGTTTGGACTGGTGTTGTCCCTGTTTGGGAGACATTTGGCGAGCCTATACCCAGCACCGGGAACAAGGTTGCTGAAGTACCAAGCTATGTGAAGTCATTTGTTGCTGCGAAGAACGATGGAAATCGTGCTTATGCGGAGAAGGCTGTGGGGATTGAGCTGCCACAAGAGGAGCAACATTGATTGTTGACAGTGATAATGTGTGGGTGATATACTCATAATTCTCTGGCATCTCTGCCTCATATAGTTCACTTCTGCTGTTCTATTGTGGGGAGAAAGTATAAATTGCCCAGCATTGGACCCTGCGGGGTATTGTAGCTTTGCTGCTGTGTACCTCTGATCTGCACAACGCAGGGATGGTACTAATATACATAAACCGTTGGTCCCGTATCAGATTCTTAGTAAACACTACAAGATATATTGATAAGCTAGACTTATTGTTCGGTTCATTTGACGAAATAATTATACAAAGTATAAGGCACGATTGCATAGTTTCAAGGCGACCCCACGTCATCGGTACCATTAGCGTAAGGCCGACTCCGCAGAACTTCAATTTAGCTACAACTTCTCCAAATGACTGACGCGACACACAACCTCTCCCTTCTGAGGGAAACGGACACTCTTTTCCGCACATACACACCGGATTAACATTGCGATAACACATCATCATCACATATCGAGTCTCGTGCCCAGTCTAGAGTCTCTCTCCAATCTCTAGCCCGCCATGGCTCCTCCGGCTATCCCCGCAGCAGATCTCAGCTCATTCACCACCTACCTGAAAGGCTGCAGGCGAGTGATTGCATTATTAGGAGCCGGTATTTCTGCATCATCAGGTCTTCCCACTTTTCGAGGAGCCGGTGGTCTATGGCGATCCTACGACGCGACAGATCTCGCAACGCCCGAGGCGTTCGATGCCAACCCAGACTTAGTATGGCAGTTTTACAGCTATCGGAGGCACATGGCTCTAAAGGCACAACCCAACCGAGCGCATTATGCTCTGGCTGAGCTTGCCCGAAAGAACAAGGACTTCATCACATTGAGCCAGAACGTGGATGGTGAGTTGTAATCATGTCTTGCCCCGAAGTGGTACTGGACTAATCAGTTGCATGGTTTACTCAGGTCTTTCGCAACGGGCAAGACACCCACCGCATCAGCTACACCTTCTTCATGGCTCCCTCTTCACAGTGAAATGCACATCATTCTATTGCAGCTATTCCCGCGAAGACTTCACCGACCCAATTGTCCCCGCTCTCGCTTTGCCAAAGAAGCTAGAACCATCCGCAACAGATAAAACGGGCGAAGAGGCTTCTCGATCCGTTTCTAGTGCACTAGGGGACAAAGAGGATGTAGAGCCTGATGTGTCGGACGAGCGTGTTCCTCTTTCCGCAGTGCCTTATGAAGAGCTCCCCCACTGCCCGGAATGCAAAGACGGGCTTCTGCGCCCTGGGGTGGTGTGGTTCGGAGAGAGTCTCCCATTACATACAATTGATTATGTAGATGAATGGTTGAACAAAGGGAATGTTGACTTGATACTGGTGGTAGGTACGAGTTCGAGGGTGTACCCTGCGGCAGGATATGTGGATAAGGCTCGCAGTAGAGGAGCTCGAGTGGCAGTGGTAAATATGGACCGCAACGATGTTGGCTCTTCCGGGTTGAAGCCTGGAGATTGGTTTTTTGAGGGCGATGCAGGTACTATTGTTCCGGAGATTTTGAAGGGGGTGATTGGCGATATATAATCATCTTTGCTACTATTTCAATTATAGGTGAACAGAGTACAGAGAAATCTGAAATATCTTATAATCGATTCATATATCTGGAATGGTTAGTACTACTACATGATAAGGAGTAATATTAAAAATAGCTTAATATTATTAGTCTAATGTTTACGAAGAATGTCAATCCATAGCTTACTGTATTCATGGCAGCGGGAAGGAATACAAACAGGTAACCCAGTTAGTTAATCGTTACTGTGACTCAGGCTTCCTGCCTGAGCTAACTAAATCGGACTGCGGACCTAGATCAATAATCCCGCACATAATCTCCAGGATTAATCCAATGTAATTCGTGGAGGTGGATTCGTACTTGCTGTGTGTACCTGAAGCTGTTGTGTGACCTGTCACCCCGCTGGGTGGGCGATGGTTGCTGGGGCAATGCGGGCAAACCGAGCGATAGCGCTATCGATAAAATGTGGCATGCCAGCGCTAAACAGAGCCGATCTCCGTCAACACGTCCAAAGCCCCTCCCACTACTCCGGATTTCGCCCTTCCTAGCCTCTTTTGCAATGTCATGATTTGATTCAAGTAAGTTGACGTTCTTCTTCTATCCTGCCCTTCCCTACGGAGATTAAACTTGATAGCGAGTGTCTCTTTGCGACCCCGCGTGACGTGATGTGCTGACATTCTGCCTCGCCCACAAGAACACAAAAGATCTAACTCGCCATATTTACGATAGACTCACTATATCTATGCAACCTAGATCTCGATAATACAGCCTCAGATACCCCCAACTTTTCCCCCTGGCCCACGACGAATAGCCGCCACCATCTAGCTTCAGCAGGAAGTTCACCAGAAGAATACACCATGGCCAAAGAAAGCGACGCCCCTGCGGACCCCTTCACGCCTAGAAGGCCGCAAGAACAACCCCATCGTCCTATGTCACACCATCCTGAGTTCGGAAAGCCATCTCCTATTCGCCCAGTGCATCATCAGAGTCACCACTCTAGCAACCCCTTCAACATCCCCAAACCGAACCACCAACGTCCGGAGCATCACAGACAACAGCCTCGGCCTCAAAATCCTGCCCACAATGGTGCCCCGCAATATCGTCCCCCCACTACTCCAGGACCTAATAACTTCTCAACCCCCAGAAGAGAAGGTTTTGACCCATTCAAGCCCGTTAGACCGTCTGCGTACAACAACAACCGCTTCTCCCGCCCGGTCGACAGTGGAGCTGTTGAGATTCGACGCCCAGAGAACTTCACGTTCAATACACCCCGTGCCCCCAAGACATTCTTCGCCTCGAAGCCCTCTGCCGTTAAGATGACGAACGCATCGAAGAATCTGAGGAACTTTGTCGACTTGACTGGTGAGGGTGGGTTTACGCCGAGTGCGCGATCTCGGGGTCCGGGATTCGGCTCTATGGACGTCAACGGTTATGTCGACACGGCCAAGGCGAATGAGAATATCAAGGCTCTGTTGGAGGGTGCTTTTGAGGATGAAGATGAGAAGGAACCCAAGTCGAAGAGCAAGAAGAAGAAGGACAAGAAGAATAAGAAGAAGAAGAACAAGGAAAAGAAGCAAGAGAAGTCCGAGAAGAAGTCCCAGGAGAAGGAGTCGGACGCCGACATCGATGATCTTGCTGCCCAGTTGGGAACTGTAACTGTACAGGAATCCAATACTGCGGATGAGAGCACCGATGAATCGGAAACCGAGTCCAACAAGTCCCCTGTAAAGCAGAAGGTCAAGGAAGTCGTGGAAGTCAAGGAGGTGGCAGAGAAAGATGTTAGTGAAGTTGAATCGGAGAATGAGGAAGATGACGATGGAGAAGAGGAAGAGGAAGAGGAGGAGGAAGATGATGGGACGGTGGAAGGCTTAAAGGTCAAGTTACTACCTCATCAGCGGGAAGGTGTCAATTGGATGTGCGACAAAGAGACTGGCCGGAAGAAGACCAAGGGAGTGCTTCCCAAGGGTGGAATATTGGCAGACGACATGGGTCTCGGTAAAACTGTTCAAGCTATTGCTCTGATGCTATCCAACAGAAAGCCCGCCGATGGTCTTAGGCGGCCCTTGGCTGATGACGAGGACGAGGATGCGAGCAGTGACGATGAAGAAGAGAAAGAAAACCGCAAACTACCGGCTGGACTGAGCAAGACGACTCTGGTCGTCGCTCCCCTAGCCCTGATCAAGCAGTGGGAGTCTGAGATTAGCGATAAGGTTGAACACTCGCACAGAATGCGGGTTCTGGTATACCACGGAAACGCACGGACTAAGGGCACGGACAAGCTTGAGGATTATGATGTGGTTATTACCACGTATGGCACCTTGACCTCGGAGCATGGTGCTAAGGATAAGAACAACAAGAAATCTCCCATCTTCTCTGTCTACTGGTACCGGATCATTCTGGACGAAGCCCACACAATAAAGAACCGCAACGCGAAAGCAACACAAGCTGCCTACTCTTTGGATGCAGAGTACCGCTGGTGCCTTTCGGGAACGCCAATGCAGAACAACCTTGACGAACTGCAGAGCTTGATCAAATTCCTACGTATCAAGCCGTTCAATGACCTGGCGGCATGGAAAGAGCAAATTATGAAGCCAATAGCGAACGGCCGTGGAGGTCTAGCCATAGAGCGTTTGCAGATCTATCTCAAGATCTTCATGAAGCGGCGCACGAAGGATATTCTGAAGCAGAATGACAACCTCAAGCCTGGCAAGGACGGGGAGAAGAAGTCATCTGGCTTCCACATCGTCAAGCGAGAGGTTATCAAGGTCGAAGCGGACTTTATGCCGGGCGAGATGAACTTCTACCAGCGCCTAGAGCAGAGAACAGAAAACAGTCTCGAGAAGATGATGGGCGGTGAGAAGGTCGACTATGCTGGCGCTTTGGTGTTGCTGTTGCGTCTTCGGCAATCTTGCAATCACCCCGACCTTGTTAAGAGCGACCTTGCTCAGGATAAGGACGTTCTCCTGCAAAACGGGCAGTCCGGCAGCCAGAAACCCGCCAAAAATGATGAGCTGGACAGTATGGCAGACCTCTTCGGGGCACTGAGTGTTGTGTCCAAGAAGTGCGATATCTGCCAAATGGATTTGAAGAAAGAGGAGGCGTCTGGCGGTAACAGCAGGTGTAAAGAGTGCGAGGTGGCGTTGAATGCCGACCTGACTGATACCGGCAAGAAGAAGAAGAGCGGTCGGAGGTCGATTATTGATCTAACAGAATCACCATCGGCCCACCGCGGAGAGCCGCAGGTCATCCGGCGGAGAAACCGACGAGTAGTGCTAGATAGCGACGATGAAGATGAGGACGACGGCGAGTGGATTGTTCCGGAAGCTCAGCGCGGAAAGTCGAGCCTTGGAACAGCTGGAGGCACCGATGATGAAGACGCAGAGGGTGGTGGTGAATGGTTGAATTCGGACGATTCTGACAGTGACGACGATGGGCCAGAGTCCCCATCTCGCAAGCCAACGGGCATCAGTCGCCGAAGCCCTGAGGTGGAGTCTGACGATGACGACATTTACCTGAATGCTGGAGACGATGATAACAAGATCCTGCCTTCGACGAAGATCCGGCGTTTAATGAAGATTCTGAGGCGTGAGTCATCAGACCACAAATTCATCGTCTTTTCGGTCTTTACCTCCATGCTTGACAAGATCGAGCCATT